TTTAAATCATTGGTGCTCGTCATGCATAATGCTGCGACTAAGGAATAATTGACATTTATTTTGCACGTACTCGTTTTAAAGTCATTAACTTTAGAATATTATGCGGAGTACTACGTACTATGGAGTATTATAACTAGTGTTTTTCTATTGGAGACTTCAAAATATTTGTTCATATCATTATTTTCTTTATTTGTTAGTACAAGTTAGTTAAATTAGCTTGTGCACCTATTATTTACATATCATACATACATACGTTTAATGCGAGAAAAATCTTTATTTGATGCATTTGTGTTGCAATTTTCCATTTTATTGTTTGCTTCAAAACTATGAACCGGTTGATTATTTATTTATTTTAGCATCAACTGTTCCATCTTTCTCAGATTGATTCAGGAAATTCCAATCAAGAGACAGAAGTACAGATCACAGATAGTGCGGCCATTCAAATTTAATATAAAAGGAGATTATTGTCTATGAAGTATAAGATAAAATCAAATTAATGGTAGAAATTAAAAGGAGGCGTGTATAATGATAATTGAAAACTCTATTTATTTATTTACTGATTTATTTATGTATTTGTTAGGGATTTTGTCAGAATTAATGGCCTGACGACAAAAATGTTATTAAGGATAAGTAATCTGTGACGAATTTTGTTAGGGACTTGTTAGGAATGGTCACTAACCACATTTTGTCCGGCTAACGGCGAAGCTTGTAGGGATTATAATCCCTACAAATTAACGAATTCACGAACTTATTTTTTAAAAGTTTGTCACAGACTTTTATCCCTAACAAATGTTTAATTTTAACTTAGGCACATTGTTTATAAATATCATTAAATTGAATGGGTTTAGTGCTCATACCAAGATATCTGGTCATCTGACGTTGGCATGGACCCTCGCTCACTGAAAATGAAAATATTCCGTGGAGAAGAATAAACTTGTGCACATATGCTTATAAAGAAACTTTGCAAAAGCAGAGATTAGCATTAATGATTATGACTCGCCTTTACATTTAAGCACTACATCTTTTCCTTTTGACAAATCAAATAAAAAGTTTCCTCCAAATTGAGGGCCAACGTTATCATTATCTAAAGGATTTAATATTATTTGCTTTAAAGTTTAAACTCAAAAACACTTGTTACCAAGATTTGGTGTAATGTTGCTTTAAAAAAAAATTGATGTAAACACTTTTACACCATTTTTTTAATACTAAAATGGTGTAAACATCACATCATATAATATTTTATCTCCAACAGTTTACATCATTTTCATCACCAAAAAGGAATATTCCCTTTTTTATTCTTTTTACTAACTTTTTAGCATTCTTCTATTTAAGTATCTAATTATCATATATTTATACATTAGCCCCTCATTTAATATTTTGACATTTCACACATTATTTCACACATTCAAACTAAAATACACCATTTTAATATGTATTTTCACGCATTTCACCAATTAAAATACAATAATCAATATTTCACAAATACAAGCTAAAATCACATAAAATTAAATATTACAATAATATTATAATAAATATTAAACTTAAATCAATAGATTAAAACTTGGGTAGTTATAAAAAATACAAAGAAATCAGACCTGACCACATCAGTTCATACCAGACCAAATCATACCAGACCAGACCAGACCAACAAATTTCAATCCAGGTAAAACATCCTAATTTGTTGTTTTAAAAATGGGTCAAAACTATAACAATCAAAACTTTGGGTCACTTTTGAAATAACAACAAATTAAAAAAAAAAGAGGATGGTGTGGGATTTGGTGTACGCCATATATGGCGTAAAGTCTATCCCTCTCCCCCAAAATGGTGTAATGGTGTAAGATATGGTGTGGCTGTTGGAGCATTTTTTGGCAAATCCACCATTTTGTTGTGATAGTTGGTGCTTGTTGAAGTTGGTCTAAGTACTTGTACCCCCTTCCCCTATCTTATAAAGATGATATTTCTCGAAGAGGGGGGCTTACATTGGATATCATATCATTAACATATGGAAAGGGGTTAAAATGATATATGAACCACAGACAACCGTCAATCATCGAATCAGACTTAGAGTTAATCACCTTCAAAAAAATATGATTAGTTCATCCTATAAAGTTAAATTTAGTAAGTGAGATTGCAAGCCAAAAGGAAATGTGAATTTGACACCGTTAACAAATACTTGGATGTGTATCATTATAATCGGCACAATAAGCTTTTCACGTATTTCAGGGTACTATATAGGTTTGCTATATATTTTTTTAAAAACTGTGATGTTTTTATACTCCGTCCCAATTTGTTTTGCAAAGTCAACATTTTTTGGTCAACCAATAATAAAAGTCAATGCTCCATATAGTTAATTAATTCAATTTTTAACAATTAAAATTTACATATTCATAAATTACATTAAAATCTCTTCAAAGTTGTAAACTCCAAATTATAATATAATTAAAAATTGGCATCCTAATTAAGTGAACAAAACGAAACTGTTTAATCAAGAAAAGTCAAATTTGCAAATCAATTTGGGACGGAGGTAGTACTATAATAGAGTACTACAGTACTTATTACTATATTAAAGTTTAGTGCAACTGTTTTTTAGATAGATTTATTTCTAACAACAAAAATATGTCAATTAATTTAATTTGATACAACCCTAAAAGCTAGGAATAGTGAACATTTATAGTGATATAGTGGGACTGTGGGAGTGTTGAATTTGGATTGATTGAGAGGGGGATTCAATCAATGAATTATGAGGAAGAAAGAGCACGACATGGTATTAAGTTATTAACCCCGAGCACTTTCGGAGTCTGAGTTAATGTTTGGGAGTTTGAACTTTGAAGGGAGGGGATGGAAAGGTTTTGAAGGTTAATCATTGTAACTTTGTAAGGAAAGAAGAGATAAAAAGGGGAAAACTCTTGTTCTTGTTTGGAAGTAACAAATTTGAAAAGATAAATGTTATTAATGAGTTATAATTGAAATCACTTCACATATATGACGAATTCAATTCGAACACGTATAGTTTTACCCTAGCGAGAGCTGAGGGGTTGGAATTTTGCCGGCGAAGTCTTCATCGTCTTCGTGCGGCGCTGGGTATCGACGCGGCTATAGCGTCGTTTTTGTATGGCTTGGTCAATTGTAGTAGCAAGGCGATGGAGGACGGTTCAGACGACAGTCGCAAGGATGGTCGTGACCGAGAGAAAGAGCAGGTGGGTGATCTACGAATAGATGATGATGTGGCTTCTGAATCCGACTCTGGGGTGACAACGAGAGAGGCAATCAATCGAGCGACGAAGGTCCGGCCTCCTCCTGAACCACCGCCAGGGATTGCACGAGGTGCTAGGGTTCAAGACTTTTACTTTGCTTATTTAGTTTTTCTCATGTTTTGTCCTCCTCCGATTAGACTTTATAATTTTGTCATTTGGTTTCTCGTTACTGTCTATGTTGTTAGGTGTTAGTCTGTTTGGGAATTTAGCCTTTGTTCAGGTCATTGAGTATGTTTGGATCTTTGGAGACAGGGATGGTTGTGCCAAGCCCGTTACATGGTTAGCGATTCGTGTTGCTCTTTCAGGGGTGACCGTCTCTGAGTCTGACCATAGGATTTACGGCCATAGTTGTTGGTGCGAGATGTGTTTTTCATTTCATTGATGTAATGATTCTGAAACATATGATATGAATATAAGCTAGTTTCGTTCAAAAAAAAAAATATGACGAATTCAAATAGTTGAATTTATATTTATTTAAAATTAAGATATAGTTGTCATTTGATTAATTATCCTTCCAGATGCCTTCATTTGGAAAATTTGAAAATTGAGCATTTGAAAGGTTTCAAATGACTACAAAAGCCCTTCAAAACTATCCCTCTATTTTTAAACATCCCAACCATGAAAGGGAAGGTCACAAACCCCTGTCCACCCTCTCCTCCCATCCAAAACCTAACTCTTAAGCACACCCTAAGGGTATGTTTGGGAGTTTGAAGGGAAGGGGAGGAGGAGGTTTTGAAGGTTAGTCATTTAAAGGGAATGAGAGGGAGAGAGTTGGAAACCCTTCTTCTTGTTTGGGAGAAACAAATTTGAAAATATAAAGGTTTTGGATGAATTATAATTAAAATCACTTCACATATTTGATGAATTCAAATCAATGATTTATATTTATTTAAAATTGTACTAAAGTTTTATTTAATTAGTTATCATTCAAAATTCCCAATTTGTGAGAACTTGAATATTGAGCATTTGAATGGTTTTGAAGAGTTACAAAACCCCTTCAAAACTATCCCTCCATATTTTTAAACTCTCAAACATGAAAGGGAGAGTCATAAACTCTGTCAACTTTCCTTTCCCCTTCAAAGCCCAACTCCCAAACATACCTTAAATGTATAATGAAAATGACAAAATTACATATGTTTCGGTATAGTCAACCAAGCCTATTAGACCATTTGTAGTGGTCAAAAGTCCAAATTGTTAAATTTGGACTCCGTTCATATGAAAACAGTGTTTTGACTCTGTCAATAATGTTTTTTCCTGCATCCGTGCACCGTCGATAAAATACACTCTGCATATTTTTCACATATCAATTTAGTAAAACATTAATTAAATTATTATAAGTAATATTTTTCTTTGTTTTTATTTATGAAGTGTTATGAAATTAAAAAAATACACTACAAATGGTCTTATGATTAGTTCTCAGTCTAGTCCAACTTGGACCCCGTCAAAACGAACTCTTATGTTAAACCAAGACACCAAGTGCACATGACATCATCTAGTTAGTCAACAATCTTTATTAGGCCCGGACACATGGTCCATGAATGCAAGTTGTCAAGATCACTTAGCATGCATGCAATTCAAGTACTCTACCCAAACCATTTTGTACTGTTTGTATATAAAATTATAAATCCCCTATAGGTTTGTTTGGGTATTGGCGCTTCACTCGAAACACCAACTTAAATAAACTAGAAATGCTGCAAATGCAGTGTTTTGATCTAGCATTTCTAATCAAAGAATTGCAAATGCAGTGAGAAATTCCATCTTGATATCAAAGATGGAAATATTACCAAACTCGAACCTTAAAATGTTCATCTCAGCTGGGTTCAGTTATAGCCCTACATCCCTACATAGTACATACCAAGAGAGATTGATCAACAAGAAAACTTTGAAATATCATTGTTATCAAGTATACAACAGTTTCTTATGGGTAAAGGCATTGAGCATAAATCGGCACAATTGGGAGGAAGATATATAAGCAAGGCAAAATGGAGATACAGAAGGCACAGGTCTTCTGTGCAGGCAAGTGTGTTGTTTATTTTCAGAAGCATGCAGCTCTGAAGTTATAGAAGTTCAAAATAATTATGAAATGAAAATTAAGATGATGGTGGCTTATAGTACTTCGTGGGAACGAAGGGCATTTTAGTAACCACACCGTCATAAGGCTTCCCACGAACCGAAATCTTCACACTAGTGCCGGCTTTGTGTAATCCAGATTTTATGTACCCCATCGCAATGTTCTTCTTCAGGCAAGGACTGAACCCCCCACTAGTGATTTCCCCAATGTTTGCTTGCCCATCCTCGTCTTGGATCTCACTGTGACTTCTTGCTGGTGGGCCAGAGGATACGAAGCCCACTCTTCTGATCTTCGGGCCTTCAGCTATTTGTTTCAGGATCACATCGGCCCCGAGGAAGCCTCCACCTTCAGTCCTTCTTCTCTTCCCTACGGCCCATGTAAGTCCGGCCTCTACAGGTGTTATGTGTTGGTCCATGTCATTCCCATATAAGCACAACCCCGCTTCAAGCCTAAGGCTGTCCCGAGCACCCAATCCTGTTAACCTCACCTTCCCTTCAGACCTTTCTAGAATGGCTTTTGCCAGGTCCACTGCATGTTCAGACGGCACTGAAATTTCAAATCCATCTTCACCTGTATACCTACCTTGTTACAACCGTGGAATTCAAAGATTAGTTCACTTCTAAGTTTTAGGTGTGTAATATATAAGCAACCATTCATAACAAGACTCTTGTTTGGACGAAGAGAGTAAAGTAACTCATTAAACGAACAGTGTTTATGCATTTCTTTTGAAAATACTTCGTAATAAATATTAACATATTCGCATAATATTTATCTTTAATAATACTCTGCATAACTTATGAGGAGCATTTGTGCATATTCTGGGAAGATGCGTATATTAACCCAAACATTTTTAATGTTTAAAGATATCTCTACAACATTTATCTTTGATAATAAAGTCCGCCGAGCATAATTATGAGAGTATTTACATATACACCCCTACATTTCAATGATTTACATTCCCCACAACATTTGGTCCTTCATAATGCTCCCTCCATCCCCAATATAGGTTCTGGTGTGATTTTGCTACTACTGAGAAAGTGAATGATATTTACGTATAACTCCTACATTTTTAGTACTTATGCATTCCCACAACATTATGCATCTTGCACTTTTTCAATAATAAAAAATTTTCATTTCAAAATGTCTCAATTCCGGCTTTCTATTTATGTGCCTAATATAGCAATTTAGTAGTATCTCAAGGTTTTTCTGAGTTCCTAAAGACAATAAGCACATAGGATATAAGCAGTTTCTGTTCTTTGTTTAGTGGTTGATTAATAATTTTGGCCAAAGGGAAAAACAGGGAGATGATGAGCACTGAAATGAACATGTACCCTGTTCTTGTGAGGAAGCATGAAACACCATTGATATCCAGTACCTTGAAGTTACCAAAATACATTTTGCTTAAGTCTTCCTTTGTCAAATTTTGGATGACCGTGGCAGCAAGTGGACCCTGACCCACGAAGGTTGAAACAAAAGTGTTCCTTAAACATTCACACTTCCTCTTATGAAATAGGATGATAATCAACATTGAGTGTCACTATAGAGAGACACTTGAGTATTAGAAGCATGTAAGCATATCATGTTTGTTAGCCTATGCAGATATAAAATTAGAAAAATGTGCTAGTGAATAAATTTCTCTCCCGGACTGCATAAAATATTTTCAGAAGAGAAGGAAATTGCCAATGTGTAGTCTATGGAGAGAAATCAGAGAATGGAAGTCGGGTTTGGGAGGGTAAGAGATGGGGAAGGGGGTAGTTTCAAATTTTTTATGCTTTAATGTGATATTATTACAATTTACAAAAAATACATGAACTGATAAATAAGTATATGCTCAATCTGCTAGTCCTTTATTTATTACTACAATCCACATAGTGTTTTGCATAACATATAAAAACATGTACCCCCCTCCCCTAACCTTCAAACCCCTCCACCACCGAAAAATAATCTTATGTACTTTATCCTATTTCATGTCATATTCCAATTGGGTCCCTCACTTTAATAGATGGTTTTTATAAGGAATACTCGCAGAATTATGATAGTAACAACAATAAGAATAAAAAGGAACAAAAAAACAAGAGCGATAACCTGGAGAGCCAAAAGAGACCGTTCGTCATGGATGTGCCAAGAAACATCGCCCCCTTTAGAAGTGTAAGCTTTCATGTGTTCTTCAATGTGTGCAAGATCCTTGTCCCTACACCCGGCATTCACAACAAGGTATATATGACTATCGGTGACCTTGGTGATCACTGAATCATCAATCGCCCCACCAGTCTCATTTGTGAATACAGTCAAAGTTCCAGTCCCCGGCACAAGTCCAGCCACATCAGCAATGACAAGCTTCTCCAGGAACGGGATGCAATCTTTCCCTTTTAGACTTAGACCGCACATGTGTGAAACGTCAAACAGACTGCCGTTCTCCCTGCAGTTTACCGTTGACTCCATAATTGAATCTTTATACTGAATTGGCATGCTCCAACCCGCAAATGGCACCATTTTGCCGCCATTCTTCACATGGAAGTCGTACAGAACGGTCTTCTTCAGAAGATTGGTTTCGGATGCAAAGCGCCTACAAGCAATAGTACTAGTCCTCTTGTCTGTCAAGCAGTGGCGAGTAATTGATTGCCCAAGTTTCCACATTCCTCCTCTCATCTTTACGGAAAGATATACCGTCTGCATCATAATAATACTCAGATGCCAATAAGTAACACAGAAATGGTTGGATTTTAAGATCCGACGTAGATATAGATATAATAAAGAGAAGACATATATGTGCCATAACGGCTAGGGCCTCACTGGAACTCTAAAAGGGTGCCATCAACTTGTATTCGGTTCAGGTTTTCAATGTGAAATAGTTTTTTGCCAGGGATCTAAACAAAAGCACGCTCTCTATAAAAAGTGAGATATACTGGATATGTTTGGTTGGATTTAGTGAGGTGAACAATGACTAAATTCAAATGAGCAAAAGCTCAAATTTTGAAAATATACTGACAAGCAAACCAATCATGTTACCCTATTAGAAGCTTCAAAATGCAACTTGATTAGGCTGAAAACCATAAAAACCACAAATAATTGAATGCTTACAAGGAATGCTAGACGTTCTCTTCTGACCAATAATGTTTCTTAAAAACAAAATGGAATTACCTTAAGGATTATGGTTATCATTTTTCATTAATCAATTCTAATCAACAAGTTTCATTCCACATTCCATCTTCCAAAGCCAAAGCTTTCATACACACTTACCAGTAATCCTACAATTGTAAGAATCCAAATCTTGACATTGAACACCAAAAAGCTGAATCCAGAATCCAAATTAATTGAGCATGTAACAATAATACATCAATAATATCTGTATAGAAAATATTGAGAATCAGGTTGAATATTTTCGAAATGCAGAAGTCAGTCACAGACTCGAGGAGAACAAAAGCAATGGATTTCAGATCTAGAGAGTTGATCTATGAAGACGTATGCATGCGATATTTGTGCGTGTTAGAGAGAATATGCTTGGAGATTCACTAAATTGATTGGGATAATTCTCTCAATTGATGGAAAATTCGCATACCCAGGTTGACGTTGATCCCCAATAATCACAATGAATATTCATAGAAATAAAAGAAAAAGAGATTCAGGAGTACTTACCACTCCAAAAAGTGCAAGAAGCTTGGAACTTGAATGGATGAATGAGATAAAAGGAAGAGTAGCAGAGTTATGTTCTCATCCGCCCTTCCGTATTTCGTTTTGTCCAAAACAAATTGTCAGCCGCCGTTGGATATTCAGAATGGCTCACATTAAAAAGGAGCAGATTCGAATCCAAATTAAATTAGAAAGAATGACCAAATTAAAGAAGAGGCTATTGAGTTCACAAAAATGATACGGAGTACCTTATTTTATTACCTTTGGACAAAAATGTGATTAACTGAATGTCACTGACACAAATTTTAAATGATTTTAAGGAATTATTATAGATTATATGGATTTTAATAGAATTCTATAAGTTCTAATAGATTCTTATGAAATTCTATGAAGTTCTATTTTATAGAATTAAATGGATTTGAATAGATTTTAAAGAATTTCATGAGATTCTTATGTGTTTGTGCTTCTCAATTAACATACATATATGGGGCGTTTGGATCTGCTTCATAAAACTGCTTCTGCTCTTTCACAGAGCAGAAGCAAATATTTGAGTGTTTGAGGGTAAGTGTAGAAGTACTCCAAAATGCTCCTAGAAATAGCTTTTAGAAGTTAAGGGAGACAAAATCTGAAAACTAATTCTGGATCTACTTTTGCTTTTAAAAAAGAAGCAAAAGCAGAATCGATTCCAAATATCCCTAAAACAAGACTATGGGCTATTGAGTAAACAAAAATGAGACCTTATTTTATAATGGACAAAAAAAAATTGATTAAGTGAATGTCTCCGACATAGATTTTAAATAATTTTAAGGGATAATAGATGATATAGATTTTAATAGAATTCTATTGATTCCATTATTCTCATGGAATTCTATGAAATTCTATTTCATGGAATCATATGGATTTCAGTGGATTTGAATAGATTTTAATGGGCAGGCCGCCGATAAAAAAACATGCCATGGAGATGATTATTGCTTGACGTAACTTGAAGCAAGGCTCACGGCAGGGACGGAACGCGTCTGGGGTTTGCTCGAGCACTATTAGGAGCGGAAAATAAGGTCTTTTGTCACTGTAGCTTAGCTTTTGTGATCGGGTTCTCCGAATTGCCATATCCGACTGAGCTTTAAGTTCTGGTCAAAAGTTTTGCATTGCGTTTCGTTTGTGAACATTCGTTTGAGAGCAACTTGTGTTTGTCAATTGCTTTGTGTTGTTTAGTTTTTGTTGGTCTGCTCTTTTGTTAGGAGAAAATAACGGAGATTTATGGAAAGATGTCGATTGAGAAGGAAGAAAATAGTGGATTGGTGTTTGAATCTGATGCCCTAAATGTTAATAGTGGGGTGGGAGAAATTCCAAGTTTCTCTGTTGTGGCTAGAATTATCACGGATAAACTTGTCTGCCCTGTGTCATTTAGGGAAACTATGGCTATGATCTGGCGCCCGAGTAAAGGGGTGAGCATCGAACATATATGTGAAATGCGTTTCATGATTCAATTCTTCTATGAAAATGATATCTCGCCAGTTTTGCAAGATAGGCCATGATCTTTTGATCAGAATCTAGTTGTTATAAGCAGGAAGGAACCGATCATTGGAGGTAGAGCTTAATCATGCGGAATTCTGGGTGCAGATCCATAATTTACCTCTCAGTTTTATGATTGAAAAAGTGGCAATTGGCATCCGTCGTGCCTAGGAAAGCTGGTAAGAATTGATGAAAGAACTCTGAATGGAAAAAGCAATGAGTTTGTCCGAGTACATGTGTTGATAGATATAAGAAATGATCTGAAGAGAAGAACTCAAGTCAGGGAGGAAGGGGATAGCTGGTTTTTGGTGTATTTTAAATACGAGAGGCTTCCAAATTTATGTTTCATATGTGGCATTTTGGAATACACTCACTGATAAATATTGTCCTTCAAACACAAGTGCATGACCATTGGTGGGTGACAAAGTGTATGACCCCTGAATGCGGGCAGATATGAGGCGAGGAGGAACACACCCGAGAAATAAATGGATCATCCCGAGTACAGGGCGCGAGTTGAAGAGCACAACGAAAATAGGGGAAAGTCTGAGAGAATGCCAGGAGAAGGGTGCCGATGTGGGTTGCTATTTGGTCCAGGACTTGATCTCAAGAGGAAAAGAGAAAGTGAGACTGGAAGAGGAGCCAAAGCAGGATAGAGTTATAGAGGAAGGGGAATCCAGGAAGCGAATAGTTGATCTGGAGAATCTGGTGGAAGTTCATGTTAATATGGAGGTAGATAATACAAGTTCAGAAAACAATGTTGTGGCGGTGCTACTGAATCAGCACAGCCTGAAATACCATTAATGGATGCAAGTGGTGTTAGGAAATTTATGTAACGTACTTCAAAAGTATAGCAACAGAAGTTTAAAATTTTCCCAAACAGATCTTTCATGACTATGACAAAATAACGAACATAACAATAACAATATATCTGAGTTAGAACTTACAGATCTTCTAGCCTAGTGGTGATAATCCTTGACCTTAGGTATCCACATGATTTCTCTTTTTCGAAAGAACGATTAGATCTCCCAAACAGAAAGGTTGGGAAATCTCTTCACAGTGAAATAATCTGGTAATACTGAATCTAGAAAACTAGTCCCTTAATAATGGAGGAGGAGGATGTATTTATACTAGTTTTTTAACAAATGTAAATACCTGTTTTTTCTATGTACAGTGATTAGATTGAATGCTTCAAATTCATCCTCGGTAGTATGAAACATTAGAAGCTCATCTATAGCAGGATCACCTTCTTCATCTACTTCTGCATCAATTTCTTTTGGTTGTCCAACAATTTCTTTATCGGATCTGTAAGTTGAATTCTTTTTTATGATGGAGTTGATGCTTTCATATACAATGCTTCTTTCTTCTCCAGATTTTTACCGGATCAAATCATTTTCATTAGTCAACTTCAGATGCACAACACATAATCGCTAAGGTACTTTGGAAAGACTGCTCCTGTGCTACCATAACAAGTACAAAGGGTGAAAGAATATCTATAAACTCCACAAAGGCTTCATTCTTTCCAACATCCCTTCATCTTCCACATACTATGTAGCATGAAAACTTTCGGGAAATAGTATGTGTCCGTTTCAGAAACTCTACAGAAAATCTTTGAAAAGTCTTCAAAAACACATTTTTTGAGCAAAAGTTAACGTTCCTCATTTCCTGTTTGATTTTTGTGTTTCCGTGCAACATAGTTCACATATTTATAAAAAAAAAAGTCACCATCATTTGAAAATTTATTAGTGTCCTCATCATGGCTCCCCGAGCCTAAGATCATGACAAATTTATCCTCGCTAGGCACAGAAGCAAAACCCGAGCCTCCATAAACTGTCATTTTGATAGCCTCGTGGCTTCCCAAGCTGTGACAATCTATGAGGATGCTTGGATATGTGTCACAAGTCACAACTCACAACGTATTCCATATCAATATGTAAACTATACAAGTAACAAAAGTGCATAACTAAATAAACATAGCAATACAAGTATATAACACCTGGATTTCTCTAAAGTTTTTTTAAATAACTCCAACGGGAGAAAAACCAAAATGTACACTTAGATTATTTAAAGAGATCAAAATGGATACTAACCTGTTTAGTAGACCAAATAAACCTATAATTCACCTTTTAGTATCACTTTTGGACACTAATAAACTGGCGGGGATAAAACTGTGCTGCCCTGTTAGTTATCAAAAGGGAAACAAGGAAACAAGATATTCAAAAATTAAGAACCCTATTGGCTTATTATTATACACATCCCCTCTGCCAAAAATTCAAAGAGCAGTCCGAGAAGAAGTCCGTAGACCAAAGAGTACAGTACAAATTTCAAGTGCGTAGCTATACAAGGAAGATAAGAAGTTATCTTAGTATTCTGACTTAGAAGAGCATTGGGAATGAGTTGGCAAGGTAATTAATATATTTTTTCCATGTACAACTATTCTCTAAGGAAGAAGATAGTTATGTCTAACACATTGTTGTTCCAGACGTGCTTAGAGAATAGTTGCAACATTTACACTCATCTGTTGGTGGTTTAATGGGGGTGTTATATCAAGCCTATGCTTGCAGCATTTAAAGTACACATACTACATTAATGAAAATCCAAGATAATACAACAATCAAACAAGTTCTCATTTTATTTCTTTCCCTTTCCAATTCCATATTCTCAGTTGCTTTGGAACTTCACAATTTTTAAAGCTCACTTTGCATATTTTCAAATTCAATATCAAAATCTTAGAGTCCAGCTTTATCAAATCCCCTCGCACCAATGTCATGCTTAAGGATTGACCCGGAGTGTTTACAATTTCCTTTTTAGCTGAGCTTGATGATGCACCTGATTGTCTCATGATCCAAATTTGCATCTCATATTTCGTCTTTAGAGAGAATTGAAGAAGATAAATGAAGGTGATAATGAATAAGGGTTGCTTTGCGTTTAAGTTTCTATCTTAATCTCATTGAACTCCTTGGAGCTGACGGCTGGACGGAGAACAAATTGAGATTGCTGAAATTAGTACTTCAATTCTTCAATTTACCCTTAGCACTTCTTCTTGTTCCTGCAGTTTGAATTTTGAGCAAAACGGTGCTTGGACGGGGCAACAATAGGGTCCTGATGTCTTGTTTCCTTGTTTGTTTTTTGAAAACTAACGGCGCAACACGTTTTAATCACATTCAGTTAGTCAGTGTCCAAAAATGATCTTTAAAGGTGACTTGTGGGTTTATTTGATCTACTTAAAAGGCGAGTGTCCATTTTTGTCTTTCTCCCTAACTCCAACCGTCACACTAACATACGTAGTATAAGAGCTTCCAAAAAGATGTGTGGATACTCCACTCTAGGTATAGTATTGCGTTTTATCATTTTATGTATGTGTGTTTAGAGCCTCTGTGTGTTTATACTTCATACTGCGTTTGGGCATGTATTTCTCAATATAAGCTTATTTAGCACTAATTAAGGTAACACTTTCTTTACAATTCAAATATGAGACCCACGAACTTTTAGTATCATAAAAGATTCTAATTAAGGGAATCCGACTAATCCCATTGCTTTCACAGAAAAATCGCCGCTGCAAAGTCAGTTTTCTTCCTCACACCAAACCCAGTAATGAATTCCTTACGATTGCCCAAAGTTGGCGGCCAGCTCGTTTCCTTCCCATCATCTCATTTTGCCGTTCCTAAATCCCAGTATTTCTCACTTGCTTGCGTACCTGATAACCTTTCTTTCTCA